TTTCTTTCTTACTGTCTCTGTTTCATTTTCAGTCCATATGATACCCTCTGCTCATCCATATAATTTGTTTCTTTCTTTGTTTCTTTCTTACTGTCTCTGTTTCCTTTTCAGTCCATATGATACCCTCTGCTCATCCATATAATTTGTTTGTTTCTTTGTTTCTTTCTTACTGTCTCTGTTTCCTTTTCAGTTCATATGATACCCTCTGCTCATCCATATAATTTGTTTGTTTCTTTGTTTCTTTCTTACTGTCTCTGTTTCATTTTCAGTCCATATGATACCCTCTGCTCATCCATATAATTTGTTTCGTTTCTTTGTTTCCTTTTCAGTTCATATGAAACCCTCTGCTCATCCATATAATTTGTTTGTTTCTTTGTTTCTTTCTTACTGTCTCTGTTTCCTTTTCAGTTCATATGATACCCTCTGCTCATCCATATAATTTGTTTGTTTCTTTGTTTCTTTCTTACTGTCTCTGTTTCATTTTCAGTCCATATGATACCCTCTGCTCATCCATATAATTTGTTTCTTTCTTTGTTTCTTTCTTACTGTCTCTGTTTCCTTTTCAGTTCATATGATACCCTCTGCTCATCCATATAATTTGTTTCTTTCTTTGTTTCTTTTTTTACTGTTCTTTCTTTTAGTTCATAGTACCCTCTGCTCATCCATTTAATTTGTTTCTTTTTTTGTTTTTTCTTACTGTCTCTGTTTCCTTTCAGTCCATATGATACCTCTGCTCATCATATAATTTGTTTCTTTCTTTTTTTTTTCTTTTTTTCGTCTCTGTTTCCTTTTCAGTTCATATATTCTGCTCTGCTCATCCATATAATTTTTTCTTCTCTGTTTCATTTTTCAGTCCATACTGTCTCTTTTTTCCTTTTCAGTCCATATGATACCCTCTGTCATCCATATAATTTGTTTCTTTCTTTGTTTCTTTCACTGTCTTCTCTTTTCCTTTTCAGTCCATATGATACCCTCTGCTCATCCATATAATTTGTTTGTTTCTTTGTTTCTTTTCTTACTGTCTCTGTTTCCTTTTCAGTTCATATGATACCCTCTGCTCATCCATATAATTTGTTTTGTTTCTTTTGTTTCTTTCTTACTGTCTCTGTTTCCTTTTCAGTCCATATGATACCCCTCTGCTCATCCATATAATTTGTTTGTTTCTTTTTTTCTTTACTTCTTTGTTTCCTTTTCAGTCCATATGATACCCCTGCTCATCCCATATAATTTGTTTTTTTGTTTGTTTCTTTGTCTTGTTTCCTTTTCAGTTCATATGATACCCTCTGCTCATCCATATAATTTTGTTTTTTTTGTTTCTTTCTTACTGTCTCTGTTTCCTTTTCAGTTCATATGACTGCTCATCCATATAATTTGTTTGTTTTCTTTTTTCTTTCTTACTGTCTGTTTGTTTCATTTTCCAGTCCATATGATACCCTCTGCTCATCCATATAATTTGTTTCTTTCTTTGTTTCTTTCTTATGATACCCTCTGTTTCCATATAATTTGTTTTTTCATTTACTGTCCTCCTTTCATCCATATGAATTTTTTTGTTTCTTTTGTTTTCTTTCTTACCTTCAGTTCTTTTCATCCATCCATTTGTTTTGTTTTATTTGTTTCTTTTTCTTCTGTTTCATTTTCAGTCCATATGATACCTCTTACTCATCCATTGGTTTCTTTCATTTCTTTTCTTTTGTTTCTTCTTACTGTCTCTGTTTCCTTTTTCAGTCCATAATACCCTCTGCTCATCCATATAATTTGTTTGTTTCTTTGTTTCTTTCTTACTGTCTCTGTTTCCTTTTCAGTTCATATGATACCCTCTGCTCATCCATATAATTTGTTTGTTTCTTTGTTTCTTTCTTACTGTCTCTGTTTCATTTTCAGTCCATATGATACCCTCTGCTCATCCATATAATTTGTTTCTTTCTTTGTTTCTTTCTTACTGTCTCTGTTTCCTTTTCAGTCCATATGATACCCTCTGCTCATCCATATAATTTGTTTGTTTCTTTTGTTTCTTTTTCTTACTGTCTCTGTTTCCTTTTTCAGTTCATATGATACCCTCTGCTCATCCATATATAATTTTTTTGTTTCTTTGTTTCTTTCTTACTGTCTCTGTTTCATTTTCAGTTCATTACCCATCCATATAATTTGTTTGTTTTGCTCTTGTTATCCTTTTCAGTTCATATGATTTGCTTCCATTTCTTTGTTTCTTTTGTTTACTTTTTCTACTGTCTGTTTCATTTTCAGTCCATATGATACCTCTGCTCATCCATATAATTTGTTTTTTCTTTGTTTCTTTCTTACTGTCTCTGTTTTCCTTTTCAGTCCATATATGATACCCTCTCTGATAATTTTTTTTGTTTCTTTTGTTTCTTTCTGCTTTTTCAGTCCATATGATACCCAGTTTCATCCATATAATTTGTTTTGTTTCTTTGTTTCTTTCTTACTGTCTCTGTTTCATTTTCAGTCCATATGATACCCTCTGCTTATCCATATAATTTGTTTGTTTCTTTTGTTTCTTTTCACTGTTCTGTTTCTTTTTCAGTCCATATGATACCCTCTGCTCATCCATATAATTTGTTTCTTTGTTTCCTTTCTGTTCAGTCCATATGAAACCCCTCTGCTCATCCATATAATTTGTTTGTTTCTTTGTGTTTTCTTACTGTCTCTGTTTCCTTTTCAGTCCATAGGATACCTCTGCTCATCCATATAATTTGTTTGTTTTTGTTTTTTTCTTTACTGTAGCTGTTTCATTTTCAGTCCATATGATACCCTCTGCTCATCCATAATTGGCTTTTGTTTCCATATAATTTGAACCCTTTGTTCCATATAATTTTGTTTTGTTTTTTTACAGTTCTTTTCAGTTGAAACCCCTCTGCTCATCCATATAATTTGTTTGTTTCTTTGTTTCTTTCTTACTGCATTTTCAGTCCATAAGGATACCCTGCTCATCCATATAATTGAGCTTTTCTTTTTTGTTTTTTCAGTTCTGTTTCCTTTCAGTTATATGATACCCTTGCTCTCAATTCGATACCCTTTGTTCTTTTCTTACTGTCTCTGTTTCTTTCAGTTCATAGACACCCCTGCCATCCATATAATTTGTTTTTTTTTTTGTTTTTTCTTACTGTCTTGTTTTTCAGTCTATATGATACCCTCTTTCCATATAATTTGTTTTTCTTTGTTTCTTTTCTACTGTCTCTGCTTCCTTTCAGTCCATGATACCTCTGCTCATCCATATAATTTGTTTACTGTCTCTGTTTTTTCAGTTATTTTTTTTCTTTCTTTGTTTACTTACTGTTTCAGTCCTGTTCTGCTCCTTTTGTTTTTTCAGTTTCCTTTTCATATGATACCTCTGCTCATCCATATAATTTGTTTCTTTTCTTTGTTTCTTTCTTTGTCTCTCTACTGTCTGCTCATCCATATAATTGTTTTGTTTCTTTGTTTCTTTCTCTTTACTGTCTCTGTTTCCTTTCAGTCCATATGATACCTCTGCTCATCCATATAATTTGTTTGTTTGTTTCTTTTTTTTACTTTGTTTCCTTTTCTTCATCCATATACTGGTTTCTTTTCTTTTGTTTCCCCTTTGTTCATATGAAAACCTCTGCTCATCATATATATAATTTGTTTTGTTTCTTGTTTTTTCTTACTGTCTCTGTTTCCTTTCATCATATGATACCCTCTGCTCATCCATATAATTTGTTTGTTTCTTTGTTTCTTTCTTACTTGTTTCCCATTTTTCAGTCCATATGATACCTCTCTCATCCATATAATTTCTTTCTTTGTTTCTTTTTTGTTTCTTTTGTTTCTTCTGCTCATCCATATAATTTGTTTTCTCTTTTGTTTCTTTCTTTCATTTTCAGTCCATATGATACCCTCTGCTCATCCATATAATTTGTTTCTTTCTTTGTTTCTTTTTGTTCAGTTCATATTACTGCTCATCCTGTTTTCTTTTCTTTACTGTCTCTACTTTTCAGTCCATCCATATAATGATACCTTACTGTCTCTGCTCATCCATAATTTGTTTGTTTCTTTGTTTTTTTTCTTACTTACTGTCTGTTTCCTTTCAGTTCATATGATACCCCTCTGCTCATCCATATAATTTGTTTGTTTCTTACTGTTTGTTTCTTCAGTCCATATTACTGCTCATCCATATAATTTGTTTGTTTCATTTTCCTTTTCGTCCATATGAAACCTCTGCTCATCCATATAATTTGTTTTGTTTCTTTTTTGTTTCTTTTCTTACTGTCTCTGTTTCCTTTTCAGTTCATATGATACCCTCTGCTCATCCATATAATTTGTTTGTTTTGTTATTGTTCTGTTTCTCATTTTCAGTCCATATTACTGTCATCCTTGTTTTCTTTCTTGTTTTTTCAGTCCAGTTCATATGATACCCTCTTGCTCATCCATATAATTTGTTTCTTTGTTTCTTTTTTTCTGTTTGTTTCAGTCCATAATTTGTTTGTTTCTTTTGCTCAGTCCATATGAAATTTGTTTATAATTTGTTTGTTTCTTTTTTGTTTTCTTTTTCAGTTATGATACCCTCTGCTCATCCATATAATTTGTTTGTTTCTTTTGTTTCCTTTCTTACTGTCTCTGTTTCATTTTCAGTCCATATGATAATTTCTGCTCATCCATATAATTTTCTTTTTTTTCTTTTTTGTTTGTCTCTACCTTTTCAGTTCATATGAAACCTCTGCTCATCCATAATATAATTTGGAAACCTTTTACTGTCTCTTGTTTCTTTTCAGTCCATATAATCTGCTCATCCATATAATTTGTTTGTTTCTTTTTTTTCTTTTGTCTCTGTTTCATTTTCTGTCCATATGATACCTCTGCTCATCCATATTTGTTTGTTTCTTTTTGTTTCTTTCTTATTGTCTCTGTTTCATTTTCAGTCCATATGATACCCTCTGCTCATCCATATAATTTGTTTGTTTTCTTACTGTTTGTTTCCTTTTTCAGTTCATTGATACCCTGCTCATCCATATAATTTGTTTTGTTTCTTTTGTTTCTTTCATTTTCAGTCCATATGATACCTCTGCTCATCCATATAATTTGTTTGTTTTCTTTTTTTTCTTTCATTGTCTCTTGTTTCTTTTTCTTACTGCTCATCCATAATAATTTGTTTGTTTCTTTTGCTTTCAGTTTCAGTTTCTTTTTTTTTCCTTTCAGTTCATATGAAACCCTCTGCTCATCCATATAATTTGTTTGTTTCTTTTTTGTTTCTTTTCAGTTCATATGAAACCCTCTGTCATCCATATAATTTGTTTGTTTTTTTGTTTTTTCTTTATTGTCTCTGTTTCCCTTTTTCAGTCCATATGATACCCTCTGCTCATCCATATAATTTGTTTGTTTCTTTTGTTTGCTTTTCAGTTTTACATATAATTTGTTTGTCTTTGTTTATTTCTTACTGTTCCTTTTTCAGTCCATATGATACCCTCTGTCATCCATATAATTTGTTTGTTTTTTTGTTTCTTTCTTACTGTCTCTGTTTTTTCAGTTCATATGATACCCTCTGCTCATCCATATAATTTGTTTGTTTCTTTGTTTTTTTTTCAGTTCATATGAAACCATTTTTCAGTCCATGCTTTCATCCATATAATTTGTTTCTTTCTTTGTTAATTTGTTTGTGTCTTGTTTCCTTTTCTGTCCATATTACTGCTCATCCATATAATTTGTTTGTTTTGTTTGTTTCTTTTTACTGTCTCTGTTTTTTCAGTCCATATGATACCTCTGCTCATCCATAATTAATTTGTTTGTTTCTTTTTTGTTTGCTTTTCAGTCCATAAGTGAAACCCTCTTCATCCATAATTTGTTTGTTTTTGTTTATTTTCTTACTGTCTGTTTCCTTTTCAGTCCATGATACCTCTGCTCATCCATATAATTTGTTTGTTTCTTTTTGTTTCTTTTTAGTTCTGTTCAGTTATATGAAACCCTCTCATCCATATAATTTGTTTGTTTTTTTTGTTTTTTACTGTCTCTGTTTCATTTTCAGTCCAGTTGATTCTTGCTCATCCAATATAATTTGTTTGTTTTTTTTTTGTTTCTTTT